CTGCCGCCATGCCCCTCATGGCCCTGACACCTCCCCCGATGCCTCCCCCACCGCCTCTCTCCTCGAGCTTTGGAGTGCCACCTCCCCCTCCGGGAATCCATTACCAGCATCTAATGCCCCCTCCTCCACGACTGCCCCCTCACCTGGCCGTGCCACCTCCAGGGGCTGTCCCACCCGCCCTGCACCTCAATCCTGCCTTCTTCCCCCCACCAAACGCAGCACTGGGCCCCCCGCCAGACACCTACAAGGCCTCCGCAGCATATAACCACAGCAGGTGAGAACAGCTCCAGCCTTTGCTGGACTGGGAAAGGACGGGCTGGGAGGATTGGGCCAAGAGGCCGTGGTACAGTTGTAACCATGTGCCAGCCAGATCTGGGCCTTCTGGGTCCCAAGAAGGCAAAAGGTACTGCTAAGGGGAGTCCTGCCAGCTGGGCAGTGGGCCTGGGGTACCTCCTATTCGGTGCCCTGGGGGAGCCTTGCCAGCTGGGCAGTGGGCCTGGGACACCCCCGCGTTGGTGCCTATGGGGAGCCCTGCTAGCTGGACTTTAATCCTTAGAACCTTCCTGGACACTCATCGGGGGCAGGAGCTCTCTCCCCGTGCCTGCCTGACGGGCACATGCTCTGTTCCGTTCAGTCGAGAGCTGGGCCCGCTGCCCGCCCCGGTGAGCGAAGCCGAGTTTGAGGAGATCATGGACAGGAACCGGGCGATTTCCAGCAGTGCCATTTCCAAAGCGGTGTCTGGGGCCAGCGCAGGTAAGAGCTGCTCCCTGCCCTGTCGCCCTGCATCCCCTCTCCGGGCCCTCCCCTCACCCTTCTCGTGTCCCGCAGGGGATTACAGTGACGCCATAGAGACCCTGCTCACGGCCATCGCCGTCATCAAACAGTCGCGCGTCGCCAACGACGAGCGGTGCCGTGTCCTCCTCTCCTCCCTCAAGGATTGTCTTCATGGGATCGAGGCCAAGTCCTACAGCATGGGCGCCAGCAGCAGCTCCTCCAGGTAAATCCTCGCCCCCCAGAGCAGGAGGGGGGAACTCCCTTCTCTCCTGTTGGGCCTCTGGTGGAGATGGGGAGTGGGGGCCCAGCTCACTGCCCTTTGGGGAGACTTTTGTGGGAGCAGCAGCCCCTTTGAAGGGAAGCCCGTCCAGGAGAGACTCAGCACCCAGCCTTGTCTTCCAGAAAAAGACACCGATCTCGGGAGAGGTCACCCAGTCGGTCCCGCGAGAGCAGCAGGAGGCACCGGGACCCGCTCCACAATGAGGATCGGCACGAGGACTATTTCCAAGAACGGAACCGGGATCATGAGAGACATCGGGACAGGGACAGAGAACGGGACCGGCACCACTGAGAAAGGTAAGCTGGCCCAGGGCCCTGGGTCTTCAACCCCTCTTGTGCTGCAGGGCCATCCACCTGCTTCCAGTGGGCGCCCCATTTCCCTAGAGGGACATGGTGCATTCCTGGGAGGCAGGCTGGGCATTCTGCAGTCCCTTTGCCCTGGCTGTTAGCAGCTGGCGCTCTGTGGCTAACAGGGCGGTCCTTCACTTAGTGTGTCAGTCATATAGCCAGTGGCAGCCCTCCAGGTCTCAAGCAATGCATGATCTTTCATTGCCTGCAGCGTGAGCCCCAAGAGGAAAATGCTTCCCCAGGGGAGAAGAGGAGGGAAATCTCCTATGATGGCCGCCAAGTTACCAGCCCTGACGTCTTGTATTGGCGTTTTTCTGTTGGCACAGCAAGGGGCTTGGTGCTGCTGCTGATTCAC